ATAATTTATCGTGGCGGTGTTGGTGACTCGACATGAGTAGTGACTGGCCATTGAAAAATATATAGCATTTTAGTCCGAAATACCCAGCATTTGTAACCAGTTTTCGTGGGATATGATTACCCGGCAATCCCTGTCACAACCTCACCCAGACTATGCCTATCCTTTCTCGGCATTTGGGTCAACTTACAGTATTTAACTAATGTTCAATCAATTATTTTTAATTGCATAACAGTATACATTACATCATTTTCCTAACTTCGCTTTATTACCATGGTCGGTTACTTGCGTCAAATTAATTGATGTTTTAAACCTATAAATTTATAAAGTGCTTGCCTTGTAATTGTAGTAGGTCTACCCAACACATGAGCTCTCGGTCGGTATCTTGCTTAATTTGAGGCCATATCAGAAATGTTCCTTCCTTGGTAATCGGCTTTACCAACCAGGAACAGAATCCTTGTTTTCTGTCACGTGATCAGTCTCACTAAAAATATGATGATGATGAGGATGATGATATCATCATCATTTATGCGTATATACCTGTACATATATATACATATAAGATGTGTATAAGAGACAGGTGTAATAAACAGCACTGTGGGGGTCGTCAGTTTGGTTTTACTGCGGGTTGTGACCGTGCTTTGTAAGCAACATCAAGAGGGAGGCGGTTGAATTGCCTTTTCCTAACTGAGAATGCATTTTGTATCTGCTGTTGCTTGACACTATACTGTACAATTTTCTTAATTATATAATTTTATTATATATACTTATCCCCTTTATTAGCAAATAATATTTATAAAAGTGTAAAATGCTGCAAAGAGTCAATACCAACTCTGCCAATGAGAAAGATAATTTTAACGAAACTAGTAAAATATCACCGATGCAGTAATAACAATAATTACAATTGTATCAATTTGTGTTATGTTGTAATACTTGCAGTACTGTGTTCAAAAAGTCTCAATTGTATTTGCTGATGCTACCATTGCTACAGTATTATAACAGTCACACAATACAGTCTGTCTCTTATACACATCTAGATGTGTATAAGAGACAGCCAGTCACCAGCATACATACGTGAGATGATTGTGACAAGATCCACGACTTGTACAAGATCTCTTAGGTCAACAACCGATAAGTCGTCTCAGAACTTATGGTGATCGAGCATTTGCAGTTGCTGCCCCTAAGCTTTGGAACAGCCTGCCCGAATATGTACGCCAGGCACCTTCAACTGGGATTTTCAAAAGCCGATTGAAAACACATCTTTATAACTCACTATAGACCACTCACATTCGTTCAATTTCGTTGCTCGATAGGCCAATATTTAGTTACATACATCATTATGACACCTGTGAAATCAATAGCTGACCGGCCTTGGTAGGTCAGTGAAACGGTGTGATGATGTGTGATTCTATTTTTTATCTGTTTTGTCGGTTATTCTGTTTGGTTAGTTTAGGTTATTTCCGGTCAAATTTATTTCCATACATTATTCACATATATTTTTCAAGCGCCTTGAGACGGTTTCGATCGTGGAAGCCGCTATAATTTTTGTTATGTACTGTACATACACACATAGTTGGGATTTACAATAATAAGAATGAAAAGTTTACCTGACCGTTTTCAAGAGGGGGAAAACCTTGAATTTTGAAGAACTTAAAAGTCATTAAAAGACAACTCAGAAGTCTGGAAAGCTCATTTCCCGCCATCTAAGAATCAAAAATTTCCCTGGGGAGGACCCCGGACCCCCTTCTTTTTGGCGTTTTTATGAAAAAATGTCTGACACCCCCCTTAAATGTGAACCTAGATCCGCCCCGGGTCACTCATAATATTTTTAAATTGGTCCAGAAGGTAAAGCCCCAAAAAAAAAAAATTGACAATTAAGGCTTATTTAATTGATTTTAGAATCTACTAGGCCTAATATGTAGAATATTTTTTTTTCTCCCTGATGAATAATTGTTTTTATCCCCGATGGGGGCCCTGGCCACCGGCTGCCCACTGGTGCCACCCCTGACAATACAATGAGACTTTAATTTAGGTATAAAATACAAAATTTGTTTTTATTCGTTAATCATTAAACTTGGTTGATTGTACTACTCTTTAATAAATATAGGGGGCAAGTAAAAAATTGTGAGGGCAACCAAATCCGAGACCTGGCTTGCCCGAAGGGCAACCAAAAACTTCAAAATTCTGCGAGGCCTGCACTCCTCATATTTACCTTGGCTGCCCAGGCCTGGAAACAAATTTTTTTATCCTTTCTGACCATTGAAGATTATCTTGATCAAATGGCTCCAGGAACAAATGTTATCTTTACAGTATTATTGCGAAACAGCAGTACATTTAGTGGTTTGAAGCAAGCAAAAATATTATATTTATGCATTAAATTGTGATGTGAAAAGAAAAAAATTTGTTTTTCTAAAATGCCTTCGGGTTAAAGGTCAATGCCTCTGACTGCCGGTCACACACTTTTCCAGCCCTGTGCTGTGGATGCCTGTTCTGCTGCAGTTGAGTTAGCACACCCTCCGCCATGAGATGGAAATTTCATAAAAAAATAAAATTTTATATTTGTTTTATTATGTCCTTCGCTCCCCTAAAAAGATATTAAGTCAGAATGGTAAGCTCTTCCTAAAGAACAATAGGCCTACAAGGCCCCCATAACAGTGGATTAGGTAGACTTCGGCCACCGATCGATTGGCAAAAAGTATGGAGTGCCAATAATGCTCTCTTTTTGCTTGCTTTCAATAAAAGAGCACTCCGATCCTTTCAATCAATGAGCACTCGCTGTGTGCAGTGTTTTATGCCAATTAAGCAATCAAGTTCATTCATTGTGATTTTTTTAGCTTTCCAGTATTGAACGGAATAACGTTTGAACCAACGTTGAATCAACAAAAATTAATTGTATAAATACATAATAAAAGTCAGATGTAAAAGATCAAAGATTACATGTTCTTTTTAGAATCAATTAAATTGTGCCGGCCATATTTTTGTATCCTACTTTACTTTTATAAAATTTATGAGTATAAATATATAATAAAAGTGATGGAAAAGAACAAGGATAACACGTTTTTTAAGCATTAATTGCACTATATTTTGTATCCTACTTTACTTTTATAAGGTTTATGAGAATTTCTTCACAAATAATAAATTATATTAATGTAATTTATGATTGTGATATTGATTTTAATAATCATTCATTAGTAACTGTATTTTTGGGGTTGGTTTTATGGTTTGTATAATGTACAAGATTAAAATATAAAACGATAGACAGGTAAATAGATGAAGAGCTATGCTCGAGAAACGTATTATTTCGACTAATGAAAATATTGGCAATATCATACTTTATGCTTTAGTGTTATTATGTACTTGTTTATACATTGCATTTGCAGCCACTCTCCTTTTATAGGTAGATAGAATGTATTAAAAACAAATTTCATACCCACATTGAAAAATATGTTTATTAAAATTTTTAACAATTAAGACAATAAAATTAATTCACGCAGTTCTGTATTGATGCTTTTACTTTGTCATTAATTGAAATAAACTGCTTAAAATAAGCAACAAAATACGAAGTTGCCAGTACTGCAAGTTGCCTAGTAACAGTGAAATCAGTAAGAAACATTCCAACAAGTAGGTTCCCACAACGCTATTGGGAGAAGCAGACACAAGGTCAGTAACCTACGGTATGTAGTTTGATTCTTTGTACGCCGCCAATTTAGGCACACAGGCGCACTGATGCTGCTGTTACTAGCCGAGAATAGCCGACTGGCTTGTTCTAGCCTACAAACATGTGATATATACTTTTTTATTTGCTTTTGCTTATAAAACTTACGAAGTTTTATGAATAAATTCTGAACAGACATAACATGGATGAAGGAAGGAAACAGAAACGTGCACCTATTTTTCTAGAGATTTTTGCGCAAATTTTAATTGGTATTTGATGTATCCCCGCAAAATATTTTAGAAGTGGCAAGTTAGCATTCGAATTTATTAAGATCTGCAGTAAACAGGTAAAAAAAAACCCACCCCCCCAAAAAAAAAAAAAAACGTACGCTGCGCTATACTACTAAGGTCGCCCAAATAATATTTACATGGTATGGTAAAACACAGTCCTACTACCTAGCTGACTGGACTTGGTTAAAGCAGCGCGCAAACATCAGAAAGAATACTGTACAGTAGTTGATCGTGGGAATCAATATCTTGCATGGTAATGCCAATGGGACGAGAGATCTTTTTAAATGCAATAAGAAAACAATCAAATAACATTCACACACGATATAATGATATCAATACATACCGTATATTTTATTTGTATTTCTTTTTTTCTTAAATTATTCAATTTCAATTAAAGAAAACAATTATGCTGCTATTTAGTTGATTGCGAGAATCCACCTTGCTACAATCAAATAGCTGGTGAGGGATAATGCCCATATGGCGCGCCATACAAATTCCGCGCGGCCGAAGTAGGCCTAGTCTTATACCAACAGTTAGGCCTAGCCTACATTGTTGAAATTACATACAACCTGGCCCAGCTACAGCAGCAGTCAGTGGTAAGTAATGTTATTGTTAAGTAAGTAAGTAAAGTACTCTAAATGTTGAAAGGTATAGTAATATTATAATAAGTAAAACCCAACAAATAGAATTTTGTCGGCACTTACCACCGAAGTTAATGAAGGATGTTACCAGGAACGAGTCTCGCGCGAAAATGCGATAGCCACCCAAACTTCCCGCCATTTGATGAAGGTCCTTTGTTGTGAAGGGTGACGACATGACAACCAAAATGCACTGACCAATGAAAGATCGCAATCTCACTGACATCACTATCTTGGCCTACCGACTCGAGAATGACATACACGTCCATATAATTTTCTCCATGAAGGAGTGTTGATCTGTTTTCCTAGGCCTTATTTTTTCTATTATTAAACTGCAGGAAACAAATGACAAGCAAGAACTACTGAAATAATCCACAACACAAGACGAGACAGCTTTCCAACCTAATGAATTTCTTCCAGCTGTAATTAATCGTTGAGGGCGTATTGAAATTGATAAACGTCTGGGGCGGAGTCCAGAAGAGTGCCCATCATGCTCTTCCTTTTTCTATGCCAGGCTTACTCGGTAAGACCGTGAAAAAGTAAGTTGATTTATTCGTCAGATTCTGTGATTGTTCTTTGCGATAAACTGCTATTCTTTAGATCACACAGAAATTTGATATTATTATTTTTATATGTTCGCTTTTCTCTGTAGATATGGCTACCAGACAACAGCAACAGCAGTCCGTTCAAGTGTTCGGTCGCAAGGTATGTGTGAACGGAAAGACAATGTGGTTGGTCGACGGTCGTGCCGAAGTTGTCAAGGTGTTGCTTGCAACACCACTAACTAGGCCTATGTAGAAGGAGGCCTAGGCTAGGCCTACTAATATCCACTGACTGACGACACTGCTAGGACGGTACACAAATGTCTTAAAAAAGAAACATGCGCCTGCATTAATAATACACTCAGATCAGATGTGTGAGTGAGGTGTTCTGCACTACACTATCAAATATATATATATAGGCCTATCCATCACAGGCTGCAGTAGCTTAGTTAGTATAGTGTAAATGAAGCTTTCACTTTCTTGATCTTGTGCTCTCGCACTTGGCAATACCCAAATTGATAAGACGAAAATGACTTTAAATATTGAATAAAGTTATAGCAAATTGGAATCCAAAGAGGGCGAAAATCTATCATAGTCAATGTTCAGTCAAAATAGGAATTCGTACAAGTTAATGTTCGCAAAACTAGAGATCCTTTTCGCTTGAAGTGACTGGATTGGATTTATTCGGTGTAAACACCAAGGATAGTCCACGAAAATCGAGAAGAAGACTTACTGTATTTCCAGTGGGCTCCTTCTGGTGGTGATTGGACAGTACACCGGGAGACAATCCCCTACTCTTTTCCGAAGAGTGTACTGTGTTTTTTAACGTGCACATGGACCATAAATGCACATGGGACCAACGGCTTAAACGTCTCATCCAAAAGACGGTGCGCTATTGTAACTTGTATTTCAGCCCTCTAACTGAAACACAAGGAGAGGCAGGGATGGGAATTGAACCGGGGACCTGGATATCTCCATGGTTCAGTGCACACACAGTGGCTACCACCAGATTAGCCGACTGAGCTAAACTACCTCTTGAACTAGCGTTTGCTCTTCAATTGTATACATTTCATTGATTTACATATTTTTCATTTACAAAGCATGACAATTTGATATATTTTTAAACAGCCAATAATACATTAAAAGTTTATGCTTTGGTAAATGGATAAAGATCATGTGATTGAAAGCTAAAATAATACAGTAGATGAGGTTTACTATTTTGCAAAATTGTCATTTTCAGAAAACCGCAACTGCAGTTGCCCACTGCAAGCGTGGTAATGGAATGGTCAAAGTAAACGGAAGACCATTAGATCTTGTCGAGCCAGCTGCCCTCAGATTCAAGGTAAACATTCAGTTATACTAGGCAAACATTAGTGTTGCAGTTTTATATCTAGTACGATGTTTAAATGTGATGATGGAGGAATTTTATAAAGATACAGGTCCTCTAATTAATGACCCCTTCTAATTAGCAATTGTCTTTTAGGCCAAATAAAAAAAAAAACATGTTTCGCGTCCCCGCCCGCATCGTTTTTTTCGCCCGCCTTGATTTTTTATTTTTGGAAAATTCATGAAAATAAAGAAAAAATATATCGAAAAATTAGAATTAAATGTTGGAAAATAAATACCCTGGCCTAAAATAGTGCAATATCTTCGTCTAACCTTTCGTATAGTAAAGCTATGCCTAGGCTAGCCCAATATCTCTACCTAGGCTAGCCCGATATCTCTAGGCTAGGCCGTCGCCTACTCTGGGTGTAAGGCGGCAAACCTCGAGTTCACTTCACTAGAGCACGTTTGTCATGCATACAATTGCCGTATTCGATTGGGACTATATGTTGAGTATGTTATCCCGTTGAGTACAAAACTCAACGATAAATTCTGAGCGTTAACTTCGTTGAGCAGTTTCCGTTGAGCAGAGCAAATTACAGTGTTCCGTAAATAAGTACTTATTAAAAAGTGTCTAAGAGCGACCATTTTGGTGACTCAATTTGGATAAAAACAAGAGCCTTGCAGGCGTCAACATTCCTATGCATGATATATGACTTAAAAAGTATATAGGCCCTATATATACATATATACACACATATATATATATATATACGAACATATATATACATATATACACGTATATATATATATATATATATATATAGGGTCTATATACTTTTTAAGTCATGTATCATGCATAGGAACGTTGACGCCTGCAAGGCTCTGGTTTCACCTTATGGTCTAAATGTGGTTTTTTTTTCAACTCAGTAAATGTGGCTATATCTTCAAGTTCTGTATCTTAAGTTCATTTACATAACTTATAATAGCCTTCTTCCATGCAATTTATATTTATATGTATCAATTTTGTTTATGTTGTATGGAAAATAAATTGAACTTTGAACCTTTTCATTGTTGTTTTCCTCATTTAAAGAAGAGGCATATAATAGGGCTAATTTTACCGACTAGGAGAATAAATGCATGGGGCAGGGGGGTAGGTGCAGAGAACAATACATGCAGTGTTCTTCAGAGAGTGGAGGTGGTTGGACATTCTGCATGTTTGCCGAGTTGTAGATCCAATGTTTTTTATTGTAAAAGATGCTGTGTAAATTATAAGTTATTAGATTTACTTTTATACTTTTTATTAACAATTATTTGAACCATTTTGTTTTCAGATGTTGATGAAGCATCAAAGAAGGAGATCAAGGACATTTTGATCCAGTACGACCGATCATTATTAGTTGCTGATCCACGCCGCTGCGAGCCCAAGAAGTTTGGCGGTCCAGGAGCACGTGCCCGCTACCAGAAATCTTACCGTTAAATATTATTTCTGGATAATTATGTACATCAGTAAAACAATGAATGAATAAAAATTGCCGAGAAAATTGATGTCTCCTTTTGTTTTATCTGTCAAACCAGTTCCTAACTGGTAAATACAGTACAACGCCAAATACAACTTTTATGTTGCTCAAGCTAGGCCGACTCAAATCTAGTGTCAGCTTATTTGTGATTTTTAGCAAATATGTAAATGTTTACCAAAGTTTAAAGTACTTGCATGATGTTTCCAAGCGATCCTTTCCAAGCTTTAAAATGTGGGTCTTGCCATTTTACTAACTAAAATGGGCAAGTGATGGTTGACAATGAACCCCAGAATTGGACTGAAGCTGACCGAATTCCATGTATCCATTAGGCTTGCCACAAGTGTGTGGTGCACACTAATCGCAATAAAAAGTGAGTAACAATTAAATGATAAAATAAATAAATGATGATTAATTTGGAATTGTTAAGCGCATGTTGTAGATATGCGCAATAATAATCCAAAATTAGAGCCTGGAACCCAGGATATGTATGCGTGTTCTTGTGTTAGCAGAGAATCGGCCATGGGATTTGAACAAAACTGGATTACAGTAAATGAGGCTAGACAGGAGGTTTAGGGAACGTTTGTGTGCGTCTGACTACAGTAGTATAAAATGCCTCCAAATGCGCCAGATGTCAAATGCAGCATGCTATGTAGCCCAACAGTTCTGGAGCAAGCAAAACAAATCTATTTGCCCAATTCCCACTGCACTATCTAAACTGCTTGTGAAAACCAAGAAAAAAATCATCCTCTGGTCACGCTTTTCCAGTCTTGTTGGACTTATCCAAAGGCTTCTACCTAAGTACATTTGTTGCAATCTGGACACTAATCAACATAAACAAGAAGATAATCTGAGATTACCAACCGTCGCCCTGTTGCAGCATGTCTATATTCTGAAAAAATAATGGCCCGTTGTCGATCAGCTTCAGATGTGCCAAACAGACCTTGCATCACAATCATTCGGGTGAATGATGTACCTAAGTTGGCTCTGTCTGTTGCAGCTGGAAATATATAAAATAACAGAGCCGGCGGAATGTTTTTCAAAGCTGGGCGCCCACTAGTAAGATGATGGGAATATGAATTGCGAGGGAGCCAATCATACATAAATCTGCATAGATGGCATATATTTTCTGCCAAAAAGTGGGGGTCGGGCCCCCTGGTTCCGCCGGCCATGAATAGTATTCTAAAACCTGCATCTTCCAATCGGCATTGAAATATATGTAACATTGTCAATGTATGATATTTTGAAATAAATCTGTCTTTTGAGTTAGCACATGGAAGGATACACAGACGCGCACTATTGCAATACACTTCTCCTTCGGGAAGGCGAGGTTAATAATGCAAACCAAAATACAAACAAATGCAATTTATATATTTATTGTAATTTTAAGGTTATATAATGATCAGAACATGATTATCGTATAACCAAATACACCGTAGTTAATGAAAGATAGTGGTGAATTATTTTTTAACATTAAAATTTCAAAATTATAAAGATTTCTTTGTTTCCCCTGGGAAGAAATAAGCTATTTTGAATAGGCTGAAAACTTTCATGTGAATTACAGATTAATACAGTAATTAATCATATTTTCTTTCGAATGAGTAATGAAATGGTAGAACACCTTGCCAGCAGCAATTTTGCAAATTATTCAAGGTTTGATAAAGCCAAACTCAAGTTGCAACAGAATAAAGCAAGGTGGAAACATATATTTAAACAATTAAACATTTTGGAAAGTTAAATTTCATTCTTTTTTGAAGAACAATAAATATTAAGGATCACACATTTCTATAATATTCAAAAATGTTTCTTCCAATTTGACAATTTTGAATTAATTTTATTGACTTTCAAAATGTCCAATGAATGAAAACTAACTTCATATACAAAAGTATATGCGAAATGTAAATGAACTAAACTTGTACAAAACTATTATTACTGTTTTTGTAAACATTGTTCAAAAAGAGTTGCATGAAATGTCAAACAAAAATATATTTTTTTAAGGAAACCATTGTCTATATATAAAAGAGAATAGCTCTTTATATGGCTAAATTCAAAATCCCATCATCAAGTGATCCAGGTACTGTATGCTATTTGAAATAAAAAAAATATTAATGCTTAGCCACAAATAATCCTGGGATAAGTACAGTCACTATTTCATCTCATATTTTCCAAACTGGTATCATCTAAAAAAAACCCACAAAATTGAGTATAAATCTCTAAAATCCATTTCCAACTGGCTTATTAACTACCATACTTTCTATGTGAAACCAGTGATGTGTCAATATTACTCTTTTAAGCCATACTCAGAGAATTACACATGATAACACTTATACAGAAAAAAGTCACCACATCACTTTTTATACTTCCGCAGGAGTTCTTTTAATTTCTCTTGCTCGGCACATTCTAGGAGAGTTTCTCCACTCGGCGCTGTGTCATTTGTAGAAGCTCCCTGAAGTAAGAAATAAATATAATCAGAATTTTTTTTTTCACATTTATTACCGAGTGCATGAAATGTTTCTTAAATTTGACGATTTTGATTATCTAACGAATATGGTACTGACATAGGGGGCAGGGGCAGCCATAGTGGGAAGTGAAGGTTAAATTATGAGGGGCTCTCCATGATTAAGTTGTGGGTGTTTAGCTGCCAACATAAGGCAAAATCAATCATGTGACCTACTTGAGCCATGAATGCAATATTTTTATGGAAGGGAGGAGAGGGAGGCAAGAGCTTTCTTTGAGGATGTGCAACCCCCACCACAATCCCCAAGGATATGTTACTTATGGTAGTTGAATGTGAACTACATTAATACAAAACTAATATTTTTTAATGTTTAATTTAATTCAAACATTTTGAAGCATATCTTCAATAAACGGATGATATTTGCTATTTTGCCATCACCACTCAACTGGCTCCTCCCACAGAACATCCAGATTTTTCAGATAGAACCCATGTGAGGCCAGTGACCTGTCTGGAGTGTCTGTCAATCAAATTCAACATCTGACCAATCGGAAACAGGGCCAGGAAAACATGCATGTCTAACAAGCTGTCATTTTGTGGGACCATAGCAACAATATCCAAGGGGCAGAGTTTAGCGAAAAGGGGCCGAGTTTAGCGGAAGGGGCCATTATAATAACAAATACAGTATGTAGAAACTTACATTTTTTAACAGGAATTCTACACAATCATAATGATTTTCATAGATAGCAGCTAAAAGTGCACTCATACCCAACTCATCTTTTTTCTGTAGAAGATAAAATCAATACAAAGACCATAAATCATCCACCCACAAAATAATGACCAGTGTTCTCCCGAAGCCATTTTAGCTGTCAATTTTACCAGTAAAAATAACTGACCAACCAGTAAAAATTGTGTGTTGGTAAAATAAAAAAGCACATTATTAGGCCTAGGTTGACTAGGCTGGCCTTCTTTCAATAAACGAACATCATTCCTTTCCAGGACTAAGCTATGATTACGTATTATTGTTTTTTGAAGCCATTTAAATCCACTTAAAATTGGCAATATCTGAAGTTGTGTGTGCTTAGCTGGCTCTATATGGACAAATTAACCAGTAAAAATTTTTCAATTGGTAGAACACTGAATGACACTTCTGTAATCATTCTTACCTCCAAGGAAGGTATGTATTTTTCGCTGATTGTTATCAAGTTTATGCAAAAACAAATCTTTAGTGGAATGGTACATATTGATCTAAGGAAGAGGTGATCAAACATTTCCTATGACATCATGGTAAAATGTATGTATATAGGGATTTGATAAATAAATAAAAATATATATTTGGATTCTTTTGAATACATACATTTACTTCCGCCCCATTTTTCACAAGGAATTCGATGACAGATAATTGGCCGTAGTCAGCTGCAATATGTAAAGGTGGTCGCTTTCCTATGCATGCGTTGATATCGAAACCAGGCTGTTGATAAAAATTATAAAATGTAAAAGCCCTATGCTGCATTTGAACGAACAAAGAAATTGTGTATAAAAAACATTTCCTCCTAAATGTAAAAGCCCTATGCTGCACTTGAACGAACAAAGAAATTGTGTAAAAAAACATTTCCTCCTATTGTTTCAACTGAATTAGCTCAGTGCTGAATGGTATCAAGTCAAAACGGCAATATCTAAAACGGCAATAACAAGATGACAAGTACCACAACAGCAATTTTATGCAAAAAAATTTTTTTTAGTGGAATGGTACATATTGATCTAAGGAAGAGGTGATCAAACATTTCCTATGACATCATGGTAGAATGTATGTAAAATGTATGTATATAGAGATTTGTTTAAAAAAAAAAATATTTGGATTCTTTTAAATACATTTCCTCCTATTGTTTCAACTGAATTAGCTCAGCTCATTTGGCAGTGTGTGTGCTGAATGGTATCAAGTCAAAACGGCAATAGGCTTTTTTGACTAGAAAGCGACTGAACTGTGGAGATTTCTACATAAACCTTGGTTCTTGGCTCAATTTTATTCGCTAATTTCTTTATGTTGCAAATGGAGGGCTGGAGTGAAAATTTCGATAGCTTACCACTTTTTGGATGAGATGCTCTTTTGGTCCCAAGCGCAAAATGGCTCAAGTGCATGTTGAAGAACACAGTACACTATTTGGAATATATTTGGGGATTCTTTTATCTTCATTTACCACTAGAAAAGGTTATTAATAATAGCAATTTTGTGGGTTAGCCTTTTGTGTGATTCACGCCAAAGAAATCCAATCATGCACTTGTATGTACAGTATTTAAAAATTACTTAATAGGTTTAATAATGTCAAGGAAGTATTAAAAATATATTTACTAGGCGACCTCCTTGGTTTTGTTGATAGGAACATATTATTTAGAAAAGTTTTAACTGAATTATCATCAGCTAGTTCCAGCTTACTATGGCTTACTATAGGCCTACCTATCTAATATTGTACTTGCTATACTAGCTTATGCATTCAATTACAGTGTGCTATAGAGGGCCCAGCTAAGTAGGTCTAGGCTAAGCCTAGCTTTTCGGAAGTTTTTAAAAACCGAAACATTGGACGAATACCAGTCACCATACCCTGTCAATCGAACTTTTCAGGTTATCTATGTCTCCATTCTGACAGCTCCATCTAATTCCTTCCTCAGCCATGTTTTAATAGTATCTTAAATATAACAATATATGAGCAAGAAAAGACGCTCTTCGCTTCGTTTCACTGTGTTTATAGTTCGTGGATACGGTGTGCCGTGGGAACTCCCTTCGACCCTGCTCGGCCCCTGTGCTGGATAGCCGATCTACTACCTCGCTAGAGCTAGAGCTGAAAGAAAATTAAAAATACGGAAGTAAGGTTCGATGAAAATGGCTTTGAAAACACAATGGGCGTGTCAAAGTTGGATTTCACAGTGTATCAGTTAGGATACAGAATACAAAACCCAACACATACTTGTCATTACTGTAATGTCTCAGTGGCTTGGGCTGATCTACCGATAAACTTCCATTGTCTTTTATGTAATTGATGAAGTAGGTTTTAATTTGTTAAATTAAAATTATTTAATATTTGAATATATGAAATGAAATACAAGAATGCTCAGTAAGAAAAACGTTAAATCCAAAGCAACAAAGAAAATTGGCACAAAGCTTAGTACACATTATCAAAATCTATGTGACAAATAAATTTGGTATGCCCATATTTGGGTGTAACATATGACATCATCATGCCAATCATGGGCAAACATTTGCCGTTATGTTTTAACGGGTAAACTTTGAGAGCGTATACGTCCTGGTGTGATTAATGCTGGTGCTTTCTAAGACGGAATCCACGTAGGCCTACTTATTAAAACATTGATACAAACCAAAATAAAAAAAATAGATAGTTGAATGACCAAAGCATTGAGCTTTTATGGTGTGTCGTTTTTATCAATCCTATTCTGTTCGGTCAACATTGTTTACTCAGAGATAATGGATACATGATGTGCCACATAATAATGCAGGTTCACTTTCTGAGCATTGTTTAAACATATTGTGATATAGTTGTGTCAGCAGTATACGGGCCAAACGAACTTCAGAATGGAAGACAAACCAGCTCCCCTCCTGGGTGATATGGTAATAAATGGCTTCAGATGGCCGCCAATGGCGTGTGATGACATGCCAGAAGAATTGAGAAAGTTTAAGGTCAGACATGATGATGTGTTTATCGTCACATACCCTAAGTCCGGTGAGTCAATGTAGTCCTAAAAAGGTATTAGACCCTCACAAATATTTAAATAAGGGGTGGCAATCTGGCACAGTGCTATGCTGAACTTTAACTACAATTAATAATATAAGCAAAAAACAAATTTGTAAAACAGGTTAAAGACCTCTAAAACAGAATCAAGACTGAGTATAGCGTATCAATAATCCATTTAGTTCTGTCATATGTTGTCCCTACTTTAAATAATTCTCCAACAAAGTTTGATCACACCAAGGTTTGTTATTCTATCGACACTCCGTGATTACATAATGTGCAACAGGCGGCTAATAATAATAATAATAATAATTTAATATTATTATTATTATTATTATTATTATTAATAATAATAATAATAACTTGACTTACTGTGTCTGTTGGTACAACAGAACATACCGCGAAGTACCGGTAAGTGAGATTCGAACAACAGTGCTAATAGCGAGGTAAGCTCACTTTGAGACTCATAACCGTGATGATGATGACAAGGGCGACTAAGCAATATTTTGTTCGTTTTACCTAAAATTGAATTGTATTGTGTATTCATCAGGAACCCATTGGATGACAGAAATTATGAAGAATATTGTTTGTGGGGGAGACCTGGAAAAGGTTAAGGAATATGGCCATACTATTCCTTTAGAATTCTTCAATTTATTCAAAAAATATGACAGCTTCCCGACAGATAAGCCGAGAGTCATGATGACACATGTTCCCGTAGATATCCTACCAAAAGAAGTGTTTGAGGGTAAAGGAAAGGTGAGCCGGCCATCTTCTTAATAAAGTAGGCCTAACGTTTAAACTTGCTGGGTCTCCTTCTACTTTGAAGTGCGCATGCGTCCTTACGTGATGACGTGAAAACACAAAATTTGCTAATTTACATACGTCATATTTTAATAGTTCAATGTCATTATCGACAATCTAAACGAAATTAGTTTATTGCTGCCGTTCAATCAATATAAGCGAGATCACATTTCATGAATATTCTCATTAGGCCTAATTATCGCTATAGGTTGTGTACGTTGGGCGAAATCCAAAAGATACAGCTGTATCCTACTGGCATTTTTTGAAAGAGCGACGATACCTGGAAGAGTATGAGAAATGGGAGAACTTTCTAGCAGCATTTTTGAAACCTGACAGTGAGTAGACTTTAAATAATATTTCATGTTGTCAAGAGCAGCAATACATACTATATTTCGACCGTAAATGTTTTAGTAAACCATTATTAGTATTATAAAAATCATTACCATAATCTATGCCTATCACCATTACTATCGGTCACAATTTTCGTCATCATCTTCGTAATTATTATAATCATTATGGTAATCATTATCATTATCGACATTACTGTATAGTCATCAATATTGATATCAATATTACCATCATCATCATTATCGTCATCATTATCGTCAATATTATCATCGTTATCGTCATCATTATCGTCGTCATTATCATTATTGTCATCGGTACCAGATTTCATAATATTTACATTTTCCCTGGCGTAAATGAATTTCCTTTAATCTATTCATCTTATTCAAGAAGGTAGAAATAACAAAATCAACGGCACAAAAACAATTAAACAATGAGCCGAATGAAACATTCGAACGTCACCAAAAACACACACACAAAAATAATTGTTTTACAAGAGAAAATATTGAATAGTTTGATTTTAATAATTTTTAAGACATTTTTAAAATGGGAATAAATTGACACTTATTTCTAAAAATTTAAACTTTTTAAAGTAAAGATGATCATTAAAATGAAAGACGAACATGTGATCTGTTATTATTCTTAATTGATTTTAATTGCGGTGCATAATCATTTCCGTATCCTTATAGAACGTATACCGTACAGCTTGGTTTTATCATTTTTTCAGTGATGTGTGGATCTTGGTTTGATATCTGAGGCTTAAATTTTTTTAAAAATAGCCTATTTTGAAAAATGTAAAATAACGAAAAAATAAAAGACGTGAGCACATGATCAGCTGTTATTCATCTTCATATCCCTATGGCGAAAATATAGTAGGCCTAGATTGGTTTCATCATTATTTCAGTGATGTGTGGATCTTGGTTTAGATGTTAAGATGATCGTTAAAATGAAAGACGAACATGTGATCTCTTAATTGATTTTAATCGCAGTGCATAAGCATTTCCGTATCCCTATGGAAAAATAGAAATTGGTTTCATCATTATTTCAGTGATGTGTGGATCTTGGTTTGATATCAACCTGAAATACTATGAACACCGTGATGCGAAGAATTTCTTGTTCTTAACTTACGAAGAAATAAAACTCGTAAGTATACCACCTACCGGTAGTATTTTGACATCATGCATAATTTCAGCTAGGCCTATTTAGTTACCTCCGCCAACGAAGTTGGCAGAAAGTTATGTTTTTGCTTGTTTGTTTATTTAGTTATTTACTAGTTGTCTGTCGGCATATTTGTTGTGAACAGCCTACAGTCCATAGTGTTTATCTAGGTCCATGGTCAAAGGTCAAGGACACAATGATCGAAAAGCTTGTACAGTATAACTGTTTGCCGTATAGACGAGTGTGTGTCGGTGCGTGTGCCGGTAAAGTGTAAACAAACATAATGACCGTAAATTGTTAGCAGAGTGTTTTCCACACTACCAGCCCCGGGTTCAAATCCCAAGGAATCTACTTGTTTTTTTTTCTCCCTATTTTTTATGGGGACAATATGCGGGGGGAAATTTAGGTCAATGCTGAGGAGAATTATGGTGTGGGCGGAGGAATGCACTCTCCGAGTGCCCTCTAGTCCATCATAATCTCCTCGACAAACAGTGGGCCCTGTCTTCGAATTTTATGGGGTCAGAACAAAGAAGCGAAAGAGGGACATATTTTATCAGCATGGATGTTTGTTAATGTATTCTCTAGGCTTATCAGTAACTTCACCTGGACCTGATATACAGTATCAACAATATAGTTGCTGTGCACTTCGGTTGTGTTTTATCTCCACCCAGTAGTAGACCTACCTGTATGAGGCGCCAAGTGTAAATTTATTATTTAACACAATTATTTATATATAATTCATTATTTAGAACATATAATTGAATAGATCACCTATTATTTATATATAATGCATTTACGTCTAAAAGATTATATGTAAATAATCGCGTTAACGTTTTCATTATTTATATATAATTAGTTTACTGATTTCATTATATATAAATAATCAAAGGGTAACCAAACATTATATATAAGGTTACTGGTTTCATTATATATAAATAAGGAAAAGGTAACACATCATTATATATAAATAATGAAAGGTAACTTACAATTACTTATATATAATAAGTTCACTAATTCCATTTAAATGCATTCAAGATCCTCCTTAAAACCTCTTAAAAATCTCTTTAATCAATAACTCTTTCATCTTTAAGGGCCAGTGACAAAAAATTATTTTTTTTAACAGGCGCTATACAAATTCTCCAATTTATTATTATTATTATTATTATTATTATTATTATTATTATTATTATTATTATTATCATTATATATAAATAATGAAAAGGTAACAAATCATTATATATAAATAATGAAAAGTAACTTACAATTATTTATACTGTATATAATAAGTTTACTGATTTCATTATATAAATGACGAATTGACTTCAAATTCATTATATATAACTGCTTTTACATTTCATTATATATAAATAATAGCTGTCGCAAAACTATTATACGTATATAATGCTTGGACTTCAAACTCATTATATGTATATAATGCACACGTGTTATCGAGTCAAGGTCATTATATCTAAATAATGGTTTCTTAATGCCAATTATATATAAATAACCGTTGAGGTAGAGTGCCATTATATATGGCGCCACCACTGGATTCAATAATCTGCTGTATCTCTTTATGTGCCACTTGCGATAAGTGATGGTCTGCGACCTGTAGACCACACACAATAGGCCCTAATTGTAATTTAAAAAGCACTGGTGAATATTTATTACTTCGTAATTTGCATAACGAATTATTTATAAACCATGGCTTCCTACGATGTCATTATTTATATTAATGACACTAGACCTCAACGGTTATTATAAGATCTTTGGGTCCAATATAAAATAAGACTAACTAGGCCTATGTATTATTTCACACTCTGTGGCCCCGTGAATTGATAATATTCCAGGGATCCTAATTTTTGGAAAGAAAAACACACAGGGACAACTTATTTTTTCTTACATTGGTTGTACCATGAAGGAATTACTTGTACGGACTGTATTTTGCTATGCTGTGTGATTACAGACAGGGCCCACAATTTATCGAGAAAATAAATACAAAACATAACTGCTGAAATCATGCATGACGTCTACATACGAAGCCGCGCGCCCCTTCGGCTGAACCCGTTGTATTTATCAACTACCACATCGGTACGCTCCTCCATAACAAAATATGGCGTGCAAAAATATTTATTTGCTGTGTTATTACGCTTTTAAATTTTAGGATCACAAAGGATGTGTTATTCAGCTTTGTGATTTCGTTTCTCGTCACATGACGGATGAACAAGTTGACCTAATTGTGAATAATACAACATTTTCCAGCATGAAATCGATATTTACTGGTGAATTACCGGTTGACTTGAATAAACAGCTTGAAAACCTTCCTAAACTAGAAGCCATAGGTGATCCAAATCAGAAGTTTAGCGTTTTGAGAAAAGGTATGTTCAGCCTTAACTTAGTCACTAATTTTCTGATAACAAAAAACAATAAATAGGCCTACATCTTAAAATATGATATGTCGATTTGGGCAAGTAAAGAAATTATAACTCGTCAAGTACCTGACTGGATTTTTGTGAGTACAGTTGCTCATATCCATTTGGAAATGTAAACACCATGATATTAACCCTAGCCTGTAATTGGCTGTACTAGAGGGCGTAGCCTCAGCGTGCATCAAATATGCATCTTTCGTTTGCTCAACTTGTTTTTTTTTTATTTTGTGTAGGCCTACCTGAAATCATAATGTTTATCATCTTCTTTCATAATCTCCTTATTGTAGGTGTTGTCGGTGATTGGAAGACACAGTTTACCGTCGCTCAAAATGAGTTATTCGACGAAATTTACAACGAGAAGATGAAAGGATCTTCTTTGAGGAGACGAATACTATTTTAAGTTTATGCTTGAGTTGTTATGGAAACCCGGTCATATTAATAATGATAATAATTAATTTATAATAATAATAATAATAATAATAATAATAGTAATAATGTATGTATGCATATTGCGCAGTGCATCTATGCGCTTTACATGCAATTAATATCAATTCATTTATTGCAGTGCTAATGAATAATTAACAATCGCTACTGTAGGTTGCCAAAATAATTGCGATAATTCGTTTATTGACCTCCTGACCAAGATTTACTCTAAAAATCGATGAAATTATGTGATATAGTTTATTGATGGAATATTGTATAAATATATCATCCTGTTATTTTAGGCCGTCGTTAAGGTGAATGATGAGGGCTTCTCTTATGAGTCCATGAGGCTAATTTTCTCTTCGCACATGGGGACACTAAATTGTTCACTCAATATGGGTTTTTGCACGTAGTTAAACTATGATGGAATAGATTGTTTATCATTTTGTTTTAATTAACCTAAAAACGAATTGATATATACACTTAATTGTAACAATTATTTGCGACGCAAATATAATACAATTATGATATGATTTTTTTTTTCATTTCATTTATTTAGGCTCGTGCGGAACACGAGTAATAGTGTCCCCTTAACACAAGTTGAAAAAGTGTTTATTTGACCATTTGGCACACTTATAAAGTGTCCTTGTACGTTCCCTTAATAGGGATTACATTATATTTGCTGGAAACGGGTGTCCCCTTAATGGAGGTGTCCCAGAGGAGGGGTTGTATTGTAATGGTATTGCTGTTATGGGTTTTGAGTTAGGTGGAAGTTAAACGGTTCAGTTATAGATGATAAATAAAGGTTTTCTTCATGATGATGATGATGTATAGGCCTAAGATTTCTGTAGATTTTATTTAGGCCAGCGTGTAACACTGCCTTACCTTGAATTTGCCCTCAATATTTCGGTCGTTATTTTGAAAACTAGTAAAATATTGATATATCCAATATAATATTTCTCATCCAATAAGAAATTTCAAACCCAGAGCTCCCATTTAAGCCTATTGATCTTTTACAGTGTGTGGTTTTTATCAATCCTATTTCAGTTAGGTCTGTTTCTGTTTACTTAGAACATAATAGGTACGTGATCGTGCCAAATAATATGCACAGTCACTTTCTGAACATCGGTCAAACAATTGTGATAACAGTTGTGTCATCAGTATACGGGCCTAACAAACTTCAAGATGGAAGACAAACCAGCCCCCTTCAAAGGTGATAAGGTGATAAATGGCTTCAGATGGCCGCCAATGGTGTGTGATGACATGCCAGAAGAATTGAGAAAGTTTAAAGTCAGAGATGATGATGTGTTTATCGTCACATACCCCAAGTCTGGTACAGTTATAGATGATAAAAAATAGATATAGATAGATATAGATTATAGATGATAAATAAAGGTTTTCTTCATGATGATGATGATGTATAGGCCTAAGATTTCTGTAGATTTTATTTAGGCCAGCGTGTAACATTGCCTTACCTTGAATTTGCCCTCAATATTTCGGTCGTTATTTTGAAAACTAGTAAAATATTGATACATCTTTCTTTAGCCTGTTATACAATAATTGTCTATACTATTTAGGTCTGCCGACGTTCGTGAATTTAGTATTACAGTACAAACTCAAGGAATATTGGCCTAGGCCTGTGCGCTGCCTACGCTACACACTGGGTCTGTTCTCATTTTTATTGTTTAAGCTACGATCGATTAGGCCCATTAAAAAATTATTAGTTTATCACCCCCTCTCATTATTTTTGAAGAAATGCTGATTTTTTAATTAATAGGCCTATTCTTATTTCAAACGGTCGTTTTTCCATCTTTTTCACTTAAAAAACTCAGGATTTCTTGCAAATATTTACAGGTACGTACAACTTGAAAACATATTTCTTAAATGTAAATTTTATTCCATTATTATGACTATTTATGTATGAGTACTTAACCACTTTACATCGTGAACATCGGTAAAACAGGGCGGGGTTAGCAAAAAAAAAAAAAAAACACCTCCCTCCCTCATCAGTTTTTATTCTTTTATAGGGTGATAAACTAATAATTTTTTTATGGGGCCTTATAAATAATTTGGAGAAATTAGAAATAAATGTCTGATTTTCTAATATTATTTAAAACCTAAAAGATTTTAACTAAAATTCGGAGTACAACACAATTTATGGATATGACGTTAGCAATGGCTACTATCTACACTGGAAATAGGATTAAAGATCAACACTCCAATTATCATGAGTAATTACACATCAGCAATGACTTATCGGCATTGGATGATAAGAAAATGGAAAAACATTTGTACACATCATGTTTGCAGATGCCGGCGGATGGTAGTATGAATATGAATGAGTCTCTTGTACAGGTGGATCATGATTATTAATTATTCTCTTTTAAGATTTCCAAGGTAATGAAAATCATAATCAGCCTCGATTTCCACTAAACTACCACTTAAAGATTTATTTGTTTTTTTAGGCCTACTCCTGTAAACTTGCGACTTTTTTGTCGGAATTTATTTTATTACTTCTTATATATAACATATAACCATAAAATAAGAAATTTCAAACCCAGAGCTCCCATTTAAGCATATTGATCTTTTACAGTGTGTGGTTTTTATCAATCCTATTTCAGTTAGGTCTGTTTCTGTTTACTTAGAACATAATAGGTACGTGATCGTGCCAAATAATATGCACAGTCACTTTCTGAACATCGGTCAAACAATTGTGATAACAGTTGTGTCATCAGTATACGGGCCTAACAAACTTCAAGATGGAAGACAAACCAGCCCCCTTCAAAGGTGATAAGGTGATAAATGGCTTCAGATGGCCGCCAATGGTGTGTGATGACATGCCAGAAGAATTGAGAAAGTTTAAAGTCAGAGATGATGATGTGTTTATCGTGACATACCCCAAGTCTGGTAAGTTAGAGTAGGCCTAAAATGGTGTTAGCCCCTCATAAGGGACGGCAATCTGACACAGTTCCCTGGTTGAACAGGAAGGGCGTTCAGGGGAGTGGCAGCTCTCTTTAAATATAATATGGAAAGACAAACAGGTTTAAGACTACTGGTTAGGGTTTATCGTATCAAACCACTGTTCTATCATATTTTTCCCTACTTAAAAATCCTCCGACAAGATATGTTATGCTATCGACACTTCGTGATTACAGTTGTGCAACAGGCTAATAATAATAATGATGATAATAATAATAATAATAATAATAATAATAATAATAATACAGTAATAATAATAATTAATACCTCTATTTAATGCGGGACGTTCAGATAATACCGTTTATAGACGTAAGGACGTTATCGCAATTGTTAATCGATAAAGCAATATTTTGTTCGTTTTAACAACAAATTGAATTGAATTGTATTTTGTATTTATTTTGTTTCAGGAACCAATTGGACGACAGAAATTTTAAAGAATATTGTTTGTGGAGGAGACCTAGAAAAGGTTAAGGAATATGGCGACCATGGTCCTCCTTTGGAATACTTTAATTTTTTCAAAAAATGTGACAGCTTCCCGACAGATAAGCCGAGAGTCATGATGACTCATGTTCCCGTGGATATCCTACCAAAAGAAGTGTTTGAAGGTAAAGGAAAGGTGAGCCGGCCATCGTCTTATTATAAATACGGTCGCGTTTACACTTGCTGAGTCCCCTCCTACTTTTAAGTACGCATGCGTAATTACGTGATGACGTGAAAACACAAAATTTGCTAATTTACATACGTCGTAATTTAATAGTTCAATGTAATTATCAACAATTATTAGTTCATTGCCACCTTTCAGTCAATATAAGCGAGATCATACTTCATGTTATTAGAAATAATCTAATTATTTATCGCTACAGGTTGTGTACGTTGGGCGAAATCCAAAAGATACAGCTGTATCCTTCTGGCATTTTATAAAAGAGCGACGATTCCTGGAGGAGTATGAAAAATGGGAGAACTTTCTGGCAGCATATTTAAAACCTGACAGTGAGTAGACCTTAAATAATATTTCATGTTGTCAAGAGCAGCATTAGTTTTCATATATTCGACTGTACAAATCATTACCATCATCTATCACCATTATATCTGTCTTAATATCATCGTCGTAATTATTAAAACCATATTGTAATCATTATCATTATCGTCATTACTGTGTAATAGTCATCAATATCGACATCATTATTATTATCGTCATCATTATTGTCAATGTTATCATCATTATCGTCATCATTATCATTATTGTCATCGGTACCAGAGTTCATAATATTTACATTTTCCCTGGCATAAATGAATTTCTTTTTATCTATTCATCTTATTCAAGAAGGTAGAAATAACAAAATCAACAACATAAAAACAATTAAACAATGACCCGAATGAACTAACATTCGAACGGCAGGGGTTGCCCCCACCCCCGCCCACCACCGTCGTTGTACTGCCCAATTCACCATCAGAGATCACCCCATTGTAACACTGTCTAGCTATCAAATTTTATTTCACAAAAAACTGTTGTATGACCATATGTGTCTATGTCAGGTTGTTACGTCATCATGACCATGTCACCATAGGTATGTCACATGTTTTTGCAATAAATAAATTAATTTGATTTTAATACAAAATTTTTATCATGTGTTTTATTAACATTTGTTACGCCCAGTTTTGCTGTGCAGTTTTGAGATTGCAAATCCGCTACATGTGCATAACAAAGCTAACTACAAGATAAAAACAGATAGGTATACAGTACACTATGTCGTCTGCTAGATACAACATACTTTATTCGTAAATGTGTACAACACGGTTTTCATCAAATTTTCGAGGCCTGTCAAAAGCTATTAAAATAGGCCTATTATTTTTTAGCTCATCACAGAAGGTTTCTGCAATATATAATGCAGGTTACCCATTGGATTACAGTATTGACAGTGGTGTATATAAGAGTCTTGAAATGGGGAAGCTGATTGGGGAGAGGGGGCGAAGGTGAAGTGGGGCCTCGATATTTAGATGATGAAGCGCTAGATCACAAAATAAGGTGATATTTAACCACTTGACCGTAATGTGTTTTTTTTTTTGGAGTGGGCGCATATGGGGAGCGAGTATTTTTTGGGGATGCGACTCTCTCTCATTGCACCCCTAGATACGTCACTGAGAATTGACTATTGAATTTTAATAACCGTTGAGCTTTTACGGTGCGTGGTTTTTATTAATCATATTTATGTTGAAAAGTTCAACATTGTTTATTTAGAACAAAGTTAATGGTAGTCAATCGTGCCACAGAGAAAGAAAATAAAGATTGTGCCAAATTCACAGTCCTTACATAGTCTAATATTAAGTGTTGTCAAGACCAGCATTATTATTCATATATTCGACTGTACAAAATCATTACCATCACTGTGTATATAGTCATCAATATCGACAACATTATTATTATCGTTATTACTGTGTATATAGTCATCAATATCGACAACATTATTATTATCGTCTTTATTGTCAATGTTATCATCATTACCGTCATCATTATCGTCGTCATTATCGTCGTCATTATCATTATTGTCATCGGTACCAGAGTTCAGTACATTTTCGATGTCATAAATGAATTTCCTTTAATCTATTCATCTTATTCAAGAAGGTAGAAATAACAAATCAACGACATAAAAACAATTAGACAATGAGCCGAATGAACTAACATTCGAACGGCACCAAAAACACACACAAAAATAAAATTGTTTTACAAGAGAAAATATTAAGTAACTTGATTAAAATAATATTTAAGAAATTTTGAAAATGGAAATAAATTGACGCTTATTTCTAAAAATTAAAACTTTAAAGTTAAGATGATCGTTAAAATGAAAGACGAACATGTGATCTCTTAATTGATTTTAATCGCAGTGCATAAGCATTTCCGTATCCCTATGGAAAAATAGAAATTGGTTTCATCATTATTTCAGTGATGTGTGGATCTTGGTTTGATATCAACCTGAAGTACTATGAACACCGTGATGCGAAGAATTTCTTGTTCTTAACTTACGAAGGAATGAAACTCGTAAGTATGCAACATACCGGTAGTATCATGCCTCCGATACAAAATGTGACGGGCAAAAATCTTCATTGTTGTGTTATTACGCTCTTAATTTTAGGATCACAAAGGATGTGTTATTCAGCTTTGTGATTTTGTTTCTCGTCACCTGACGAATGAGCAAGTTGACCTAATTGTCAATAATACAACATTTTCCAACATGAAATCGAAATTTACTGGTAAGTTACCAGACATGAAACAGCTTGGAAACCTTCCTAAACTAACCGCCATGGGTGATCCAAATCAGAAGTTTAGCATTATGAGAAAAGGTATGTTCAGTCTTAACTTATTCATTCATTTTCTGATAACAATAAAAACAATAAATACATCTTAAGTTAAAATATGATACGTCGATTTGGGCAAGTAAATAAGTTATAAGGGTCAGGTAGGCGTACTAATAAGCGAACGGGTACCGTACCTGATTGGCATTTGGAAATTTAAACAGCCTGATTTTAACCCTAGCCTGTAATTAGCTCTACAGGAGGGCGTTGCCTCAGCGCGTGCGTCAAGTACACGTCTTTTGGTTGATCAACTTGTTGTTTGTGTACCTGAAATCATGTTTATCATCTTCTTCTCTTTATTGTAGGTGTTGTCGGTGACTGGAAGACACAGTTTACCGTCGCTCAAAATGAGTTATTCGACGAAATTTACAACGAAAAGATGAAAGGATCTTCTTTAAGGAGACGAGTACTATTTGAAATTGATGCCTGAGTTGTCATGGAAACCCGGTCATCATCTATCAATTCATTTATTACAGTGCTAATGAATACTTAACAATCGCTACTATAGGTTGCCAAAATAATTGCGATAATTTCGTTTATTGGCCTTCTGACCAAGATTTAGTCTAACATGATATCGATCACATTACGTGGATATAGTTTTTATATGAAATAGTGTATAAATATCCTGCTGATATTTTAGACTGTCGTTAAAGTGAAAGAATGAGCAGGGGCAGATCCAGAATTTTCCAAGCCGGGGGGAGGGGGAACATAACAATTTTAGAATAGGTAAGTGAGTAGCGCATGACATTGGTTTGCATTAAAATGTTTAAAACTTAGTGGCCCTTACTGGATCTGCCCCTGATGAGGGCTTCTCTTATGAGTCCATGAGGCTAGTTTTTTTCTTCGATCTTCCCAGTACACGTATGCTCCGATTATTAATTCGCGCAATACGTTTTAAACAATGCCGTACAATTTTTGCATTAGGACACATCAAAACAGTTAATAATCTCACGGAATTTCATTTGGTTTCATCAATTTTATGGGCTTAGAAAAATAATACAAATCAAATAATTAATAATATGCTGTTCAGGTTTTATGTTGGGTGAAAGACGAACAATTCAACAGTACGATGAATGATAATGTTTTCTATATCAGGACGTAGACCTAACTGTTCCCTCCCAAAAGTCACCAACTGCCACACATTTTTTTTCTGCAAACAAACAAAAACAGAATCATAAAATAGGCTGTGGCCTATTTATTGACCACAGGAAATATTTAATATAAGTCTGTGTTTGAATGCTAGCATACGCAAAATCAATGTTGCTAGCGTGTGAAGGAATCAATTCACTGTTACTCTTCTCGTCTGTCTGATGAGATGTTAAACCCGTTGCAACGCGACGGTGTGCAATTGTTTCCTGCATATTAAAGTCAGGCTCCGGAGGAAAAAAAAATTTGATATGTTGTAGAACTGATTTTTCTAAGACAGAAAAAAGTAGTTTGATCAAAAACTGAGCAACGATGAATGAGATACAGATTTTTTAATATTTAAAAACTGGGGGAAAAAAGGTGTAAAAATGGACGGTTAGTTTTTCGTCAAACAACTATTTCCTGTCTTAGAAAAATCAGTTCTACAACATATGAAATTTTTTTTTTCCTCCGGAGTCTGACTTTAAAGAACGCCGTACTATACTCTTCTACAAAGAGCAGGGGCATTTGTTACGCTCAGTTTTGCTGTGCAGTTTTCAGACTGCAAATCTGTGCTTAACAAAGCTAACTACAGGATACAAACAAATAGGTATACAGTACACTATGTCGTCTGCTAGATACAACATACTTTATTCGTAAATGTGTACAACACGGTTTTCATCAAATTTTCGAGGCCTGTCAAAAGCAATTAAAATAGGCCTATTATTTTTTAGCTCATCACAGAAGGTTTCTGCAATATATAATGCAGGTTAGCTATTGAATTACAGTATTGACAGTGGCGTATATAAGAGTCTTGAAATGGGGAAGCTGATTGGGGAGAGGGGCGAAGGTGAAGTGGGCCTCGATATTTAGGTGATGGAGCGCTAGATTACAAAATAAGGTGATATTTAACTACTTAACCGTAATGTGTTTTTTTAGAGGGGCGCATATGGGGAGCGAGTATTTTTTGGGGAATGCGATCCCCTTTCAGTGCACCCCTAGATAGTATTGACTATTGAATTATAATAAGTATTGAGCTTTTACGGTGCGTGGTTTTTTGAAATTATTTTATGTTTTGAAAAGTTGAACCTTGTTTATTTAGTACAAAATTAAGGGTAGTTGATCGTGCCATAGAGAAAGAAAATAAAGATCGTGCCAAATGCATTTTCACTTCCTGAGCATTGGTCCAACAGTGAGATACAGTGTCAACAAGGGGCCTAACGAACTTCAAGATGGAAGAGAAGCCAGCCCCATTCATAGGTGTTAAGGTGATAAATGACTTCAGATGGCCACCACATGTGTGTGATGACATGATAGAAGAACTGAGAAAGTTTAAAGTTAGAGACGATGACGTGTTTATAGTCACATATCCCAAGTCTGGTGAGTAGGAAACAGTGTTAACCCCTCACATATGTTTAAATAAGAGGCCGCAATCAGGCACAACTCCGGTGTTTAAACAAAGTTGAACCACGTTTTCGGGAGTGCAAGTTCTCTTCAGCTATAATAAACAAAGGGAAACTCATAAAACAGGTAGATTAGGGCTTATCATACAAGATGTTTAATTAGTATAAACAATAAACTAATTCCTCCATGGTCTGAACGATCTCTTTCAGAAGTTGTCTTGATGCTTTTACGTGTGCCGACGCGATACCTTCTCTTTATATTCTTCTGACGATACGGTACTGACTGAGTCTATTCTTAGGACGGTAAATTTGACGTTTTTATCCGGAAAAGAAACTGTTTTTTCCAATGTAATAATGAACTGAATGAACGTCGATCCCATGGTTCTGGGAGGGTCACATTATAACTTGAATACAACGGACTTACCCTTATTTTTTAGGAGGAAATGACTATTTTATTTTATTGTTTTTAGTTTGCATAATTTACAAGATCAGTGGCGTAACGATGGGGCCGGGAGCCCGGCTTTCTGAAACTGGGGGCCCTTTTTGTGCCCCGGTCGCCAATTATATCCTGTGATATTAGATGTGCTCGTTTTTTAATTATGTTTGCATTGTTATTGTAAATTTTTTTACGAAGAATAAATTATAATGTCAGTGGCGGATCCAGGTTTTGAAATAATGAGGCCAGGGAGGGACTTTCACTGTTGGAGAATTTATACCACCTCAGCCCCACCATGGGTGTGGCTGATTTAAGAAAATGCGAATGGCACTCACAGACCTAAAATTGTGAATATAATTTTCTTTTTATCATTATTTTAACATTTTTGTGGGGTCTCGAACCGACAGCACCCCTTCCCCACTCTCCCTTCTTGGAGGGTGCTACATCAAGGGGCCCTAGGAGTCGGGTGCCCTGCGGACCGCCGAATGAGAGCGCATAGGCGTTACGCCACTGTACAAGATATTTAAAGAGCGCATCCTTCATTATCATGAACCATTATGAACCATCATCTTAATAATTTATGTTTAAGATACTGCAATTTTATGGGTTCGGAACAAAATAGGCTAAATATTAAGGCCTAAAAACACTTCAAACAGCATCAGAGTAATATTGTTAATGTATTCTCTTATCAGAACCATTGCCTTGCTTTTCTCCACCCAGGACTATAAATGCTGGTGAGATTGCCTACTCCTGCGCTGATAACAGCAGCAATACATAAACATGTTGCACTTAATGAGCGGGAAAAGCGCTTTGTATCTGAAAAAAGGCACTATAATACATGAATGAAATGCATGCTCATTCCATGCTTATCTCCCTTTCGTCTAATTCAACCAGCATATTTAAAACCTGGCAGTGGGTAAGCCTATATTGTTTAATGTTGTTAAGACCAGCAATAAATGTCATAGGTCGACTGCGAATGTAACAAAATCACCGACATTGAGAGACAGTGAACTGAGTCAAACCATAGAAAGGGAGGGTCTCTTAACATTCAATTATCACCAAGAAGACAATAGAAAACATTTAACACACATTTTAAATAAGTATAAAATTCGAGACAGGTAGAAATGCAAGAAAAAAAGAAATTAGTCCAAAATGTTTTAATAGAGAAAATGTTAATTGTTTAATTAAATTAATACTTGAAACAATTTGGATTAAAAAATATGAAAAAAAAGCTAAAATGATAAAAGTTGTTAATTTATACGTTTAAGATATTGCAATTTGATGGGTTCAAAACAAAGTAGGCTCAACAGTAAGGAATAAAAATCCCCTTTAAATAATATCAGGATATGTTTGTTAATGCATTCTCTTATCAGAAACATTGCCTTGCTTCTTTCCACCCAGGACTAAAGGGCTGGTGGGACTGCCTGCTTGCCTGATTACAACAGTAATTATAGATAAACAGTTGCACTTAATGACCAGGAAAATCGCTTTGTATCTGAAAAAGGTACCAGGGTACTATAATAAATAAATAAACAAATAAATGAATGAATGAGTGAGTGAGTCAGTGAGTGAGTGAGTGAATGAACAAACGAATAAATAAATGAATGAATGAATAAATAGATAAATAATTCATTGCTTGACGAGATCCTGGATGACGAGATCCTGGATCTCGTTATGTGTACATCCTTTAGAAGAGATGATTAGATGACGGGATCCTGGATCTCGTCATGTGTACATCCTTTAGAAGAGATGATTAGATGACGAGATCCTGGATCTCGTTATGTGTACATCCTTTAGAAGAGATGATTAGATGACGAGATCCTGGATCTCATTATGTGTACATCATTTAGAAAAAATGATCAGACGACAAGATCCTGGATCTCGTCATCTGAACATCTGTAAGGTCACTATAAGCTTCCGTAGTAGCTTGGAACAGTATGATACTCGGCAATTTCAACAAGGTTGTTCGTGATGCGGTACATCATTGTTGCTGTGGCCGCCTTTCTACGGTGTTGAAGTGACCTCCATTCAAGATTGGAGAGTAAAGTTGTAACGCTGCTTCTACAGGAATAGTCATTCAGGACGTAGGCCTACCTAGCTGCACTGCGTTGGATCGATTCAATTGTATTGGCGGCAATTTTGTGTTGAGGGATCCCAGACACAACTATAGCATATTCCGCAATTAATGAATTAGTTAAGTGACAATGAAATATCCTTGTCGCTATTTTTATTCGATGAAGCAATATTTTCATCGTTTTATCTACGATTAAACTGTATGTTTATTTTGCTTCAGGAAGCCACTGGATGACAGACGTTACGAAGAATATTGTTTGCGGAGGAGACCTAGAAAAGGTTAAGGAATATGGCAACCATGGTCCTCCTATAGAATTCTACAATTTTTTCAAAAAATGTGACATCTTTCCAAAAGATAAGCCGAGAGTCCTGATGACCCATGTCCCTGTGGACATCCTACCAAAAGAAGTGTTTGAGGGCAAGGGAAAGGTGAGCCCACAATCTTCTTACTTCGAAGTACGCATGCGTAATTATGTAACAACATAAAACCGACCGGTTAAATCGCGTCACCATAAAAACTAATACTAAAATTTGCTAATTTACATACAGTTTTACGTCATAATTTAATTGTTCCGTGTCATTATCAACAATCTAAACGATTAGTTCATTGCCTCCTTTCATCAATATAAGAGGAATTGTAATATCTTTATGTTATTTCCTCCGCCAACGAAGTTGGCAGGAGGCTATGTTTTCGCCTGGTTTTTTATTTAGCTATTATTTGTCTGTCGGCATAGTTGTTGTGAACAGCTACAGCCCATATTTTTCATCAAATTCATCAAACTTGGCCACAATGTTTCTTTACCTAAGATCTCAAAGTGACTAAATTTTTAAGGGGCATGGTCAAAGGTCAACAACACAATATCGAAAAACTTGTATAACCATTTGCTATACGTGTGTGACATTAGACTTGCCACAAGTCTCTAATTATTGGTTTTCCTAGTATTAGCGAATTTTGGAGAGCGCCACCAGCGACGGTATATATCGAGAAACTTTTATGCGAATTAGAAAATCCTAATCCAAGATAAGTATACTATGAAACGCCAAGCAAATAGGGACTGGAGCCCAGTCTAGTGTGACATTTGCTTATACGGGCTTGCCGGTAAAATGTAAACAAACATGACTATTAAATTCAAAGTTATATAGGCATGTGGAAACAGTTTGGTATAGTGGTTGAAGAGTTAAAAAGGGTTAAAATCCCAAGGAGTCTACTTGGTTATTTTTTCCCATTATTTTTTTATGGGGACAATATGCGGGGGAAATTTATACTGAGGAGAATTATTATGTGGGAAGAGGTATGCACTCTTCGAGTGCCCTCTAGTTATGAATAATCTTAACCTCGTTGTTTATCGTTAGGTTGTGTACGTTGTGAGAAATCCAAAAGACACAGCCGTTTCCTTTTGGCATTTTGTAAAAGAACGACGATTCTTGGAAGAGTATGAGAAATGGGATAACTTTCTAGCAGCATATTTAAAACCTGACAGTGAGTAGACCTATATTATTTTATTTTGTTTAAACCAGCAATAAATGTCATGCATACTCTCTACGAGTGAAAAAAGAGTGAAAGAGTGCCTAAAGGGACCACTCCTGATGGAGTGAAATGGACAGAGTGAGATTTCACTCTATTCAGAGTGAATTTTAGTAATTTTTCACTATTTTAAGAATAATATTCACTCATTTAGAGTGAAATTGGAGTGGTCCCTGTAGGCACACTTTTCGAGTGAAAATTCACTCGTTTACATTAAGAGTAGGTCGACCGTGAATACGTTTTAATGATGTAAAATTGAAAGCGTTAAACATTACTAGTACAGTATTGCTATTGGGCTTACTTTTATCATCGTCATCATCATCGTAATTGTCGCCATCATTATATTCATCATTATGTTCATTAACATCGTAGTCACTATCGTCATTATCATAATCAATATCGTCATCATCATCATAATCGTCCGCATTATCGTCATTATTCATGATAATCATTATCGTCATCATCATTATCGTCATTATTATCAGCATTATCGTCATCATTATCATATTATGCTTATTATCAGCATATCGTCATCATTATCATCGGTACCATAGCCCAGAATATTTACATTTTCACGAGATAAGTGACTCATTCCATGTTCCATTACCATTACCATTCATCTCCTTTCGTCTCAGGGAGCCGTTATGCGAGGTGTGTAGGACCCCGGTGGGTCCAGGGGCTAAGCCCTCTGGGAAATAACGCACCCTGAACGTTTTAGGACTGTTTAGAGAGGATAAAGGGAAAATTACAATAGACGCATCATAAATAATATTAGTAAGCCTAACATTGATTATATAATAACTCAACAGTGGTGGATCCAGGAGTTCGAAAGAGAGGTGAATTTTTATTGGCTATCAAAAACAAGCTTTAAAAGTTTAACACTGTACAAAAGTGGGGGGAGGGGTGGTGCCTGGATACGTCCCTGCGTTAAGAGACTGTGGACTAAGTCAAACTATAGAAAGGGAGGATCTCCTAACATTCAAATAGCACCAAGAAGACAAGAGAAAACATTCAACACACATTTGGAATAAGTATAAAAGCGAAGGGGTATCCAGGGGAGAGCCGCGGCTCCCACGGCTCCCCTGGATACGTCCCTGCGTTGAGAGACTGGACTGAGTCAAACTATAGAAAGGGAGGATTTCCTAACATTCAAATAGCACCAAGAAGACAATAGAAAACATTTAACACACATTTGGAATAAGTATAAAAATCGAGAAACAGGTAGAAATGCAAGAAAAAAGAATTTAGTCCAAATTGTTTAAAAGAGAAAATATTAATTGTTTGAATAAATTAATACTTCAAACAATTAGAATAGAAGCTTAAATTTAAAAAAAAAGCTTATTTTCAAAAATGTAAAATAACGTAAAGACCACGTGATCTGTTATTCATCTTCATATCCCTATGGAGAAAATATAGTAGATTTGTTTCATTTTTGTTTTCAGTGATGTGTGGATCTTGGTTTGATTTCAACCTGAAATACTATGAGCACCGTGATGCGAAGAATTTCTTGTTCATAACTTACGAAGAAATGAAACTCGTAAGTAGGACTCCCTGGTAGGACATAGGCCTACCGGTAAATCGCTCCTCCGATATCGATAACAAGTGGCCCGAAAAACATCTATACTGTATTATACTTTCCAATTTTAGGATCACAAAGGATGTGTTATTCAGCTTTCCGACTTCTTTTCTCGTCACCTGACGGACGATCAAGTTGATCTAATTGTGAATAATACAACATTTTCCAATATGAAATCGAAATTTACTGGTAAACGGAACACTAAACATCTTGGGGATGTACCTAAACTAGGCGTCGTGGGTGCTTCAAATCAGAAGTTCACCATTATGAGAAAAGGTAGACCTATGTTTATTCTTTATTAATATATCTTTCGATAACAACAAGAACAAAAATATATCAAAAATACAATATGTCGACCTGGGCAATTGAAGAAATTATATAGGGATCAGGTACGGTATGTCATATGCGTACTACTGCAGGTACTTGAGTACCTTACATTATTGCCCACATTTATTCATCATAAAATGAAAACAATTTAATTGGTGGTAATGGAGAGCGTGGCCTCAGCACGCATCATTCTGTACGCACATCCTTCGGTTTGCTGAACATTGTTTACTGTAGGCCTATCTATACCTGAAAGTGATGTTTATAATCTTTTTTTTTTATTGTATTCTTTATCTCTGTATTGTAGGTGTTGTCGGTGATTGGAAGACACACTTTACCGTCGCTCAAAATGAGTTATTCGACGAAATTTACAGCGAAAAGATGAAGAGATCTTCTTTGAGGAGACGAATTATATTTGAAATTGATGCTTGAGTTGTCATGGAAACCTTGTCATCTTATAGAAATATATCAACAATTATTGTAGTGTTAATGAATAATGAATAATTTTTCCGGAAGCAGCCAAAATAATTGGCATAGTCCTAATTGTTATAGTTAGGCCTCCTGGCCAAGACATGTCTAGCCTGAAATCGGCAAAATTTTGCTGGTTCTTGTAGGAAAAAAGTGTCATCAATGATAATTCTAACTGAAATGACAAGGAAATGTTCGTCACAAAAGTTAGTAAAAAACTGCGCACAAGCCTTTAGTGGACTTCTCTAGTCAGGAGCCGCGGACCGTTGTTGCTTCCGTGTGCAATAAATTTGTGCTGTCCCGGCTTTCGGTGTAGCCCTACTGCCCAATTCACCATCAGAAGATGACCTCATTGTAATAAAACAAAATTAAATTTTATCCTATTTTTGTTTTTTAATTTATTATGCTCAGTTTTCCTGTGCAGTTTTGAGATTGCAATTCCGAGCGCATGTGAACTTTTTTTTAAATATTTTGTGGGGTAGTCCTACTTTAATTCACAATTCATATCTGGCATAATAGTATATCAGTTTCTCATACTATGGTGAAAATATACAGTATTATACTTCGTAGAAAAAAATATAAACAATGTGTTATACCCAATGTAAATGCAGCATTTATCGTAGAAAGTATCTCAAAAACTCGAAGGCTTCGATGATGAACGCCACCTCACAATAGATGAAAAACACGTTTCAGTCAATCAATCAATCGATCATTCAAACGAGCTTTTCTAAGAGCTCCTCATTGGAGCTGAAATTAACAAATAAAATCCATGTAGATCGTTCAAGACGTTAAAAGACATTTAAAATATAATTTAAAATGAAGTTAAAAACAAAATAAATCCAAAGTAAACTTAACCGATCGATTACTAAAACATTACACTGTACATATTATTGAGGTAGGCCTACCATTTCACAGATATTATTAGTTAATTCAGATTTTACTCTGTATTTGTGTTTGTTTGTTATGAGTGTGAATAGCCGAATGAATAAAAAAAACTCTAAACTTTAAAATAAATGATAAGGACAATAATTTTGCATCCTTTTGTGTTTTTTTATCTGTCATGTGCAAATCTGACGCAGATGCATAACCAAACCTCACTTTACAAGATACAAGCTTATTACTGTCCAGTGGTGGCGCCAAGATTTGCCCGACGGGGGTCCGAGGTTCCGACGAAGAGGGGAGAGGAGGGCGATGTCCCCGGCGAAAAAAAATTTTTAAGGGGATTAGTCCCCGCACGTTTCGACCGCAGTGTAATTTCATACGGTAAGTAAAGATAATGCGTAAAAGTTGTTGCCTGAGTACAGTACTGTACATCTTCAAGATACCGGTTCTCACTAACGTCTGAATTACTTAATACACAACTCGAGTGCGCGTGTTATAATTTGTTATAATTTGAGAAGTATGAGAAAAAGTATAAGATTTTCGTCACACGAAGCTGGAAATTGTATTAAGAAAACTGTATTAAGAAAAACAATTTTTGTATTGTATTGTTGATATATTAATTTTATCATTACGAACATAGTACCGGGTAGGATTTTTAACGTATCCATAAGGTCCATATTCTAAAAATGTTCACACCTCAGCCCAACCATGGTGAGGCTGAGGTGATGGTGGACTCTCACGCACACCCTATCGCCAAATCCTGCATCCGCCCCAACTAAGGTACAGCACACAGGTTATTTACATCTTTGATTGCCGAAAATCGCTGATAAAAGATCATGAGAAATTAGTTTGTGCTTCATTTGACTACAATAGTGATATGATGATGACGAACACACGGTATATAAAAGAGTGTTATTCCGACCACCTAGAGGTACGGTACTATTTCCTCAAATTTTCGCACCTCAGCTCCAACCATTGTGGGGCTGAGGTGGGTATGGGCTCACGGCTTTTAAGAAGGTAAAGTAAAGTGTTTAAATCAAAGACAATGTTTTTAAGTTTTAATTTCTATGGTACATCACACATATTAATTAGATCTCTATGGTTGCCAAAAATAAAAAGATGAGAAACAATAGTGATGTGATGAAGATGAATTTTACTATTTAAGGGCGTCATTTCCGGCCATCTGGGGTACTATTTTCTCAATTTTTCCCACCTCAGCCTGATTGCTGTCCCTTATTTAAACATGTGCGAGGGGTTAACACTGTTTCTTTTTCAGCATACTTCGGATATGTGATGATAAACACGTCATTATCTCCAATTTTACTCTTGTAATAATAATATTAACTTATATAACCATTGGAATTTGTATATCATCGACACCCTTCACCTGTTAAGTATCTTAAATTGATTTGAGAGCTTGAATAGTCAACCTGAATATAGACAATCTACCATACATTCCATAATTTATAACTTCACCCTAGAACCAACTACTACAATATTTCACACGGGAACCTCACAATATTTGACTCTCTCAGTTCTTCTTTCATGTCATCACACCGGCGGTAGCCATCTGAAGCCTTTGATCACCTTATCACCTCTGAAGGGGGCTGGTTTGTCTTCCATCTTGAAGTTTGTTAGGCCTGTATACTGCTGATGACACAAGACGTACGGTACCGTATCCCACTGTTGGATGGACCCATGTTCAGGAAGTAACTGTACATTTATTGGCACGATCAAACAATGTTGACCTTTTTAACACATTTTTATCAACAATCACGAAATACCCTCTGTTCAATCAGCAACATGTTTAGGAGTGCACTTAGACAGTGGGCTCACGTGGAAAAAACACATAAGCGAAGTTGAGAGTAAAATTTCCAAAAGCATTCGTGGCATCATTTCTAGACTCTCCCCATTTAATCCCTCTAATGTTCTTCGTATTCTCTACTGCTCTCTCATTTTTCCTTACTTGAACTACTGCAACATTGTTTGGGGCAATACATATCCATCTAACATCAACAAACTTCAAATTCTTTAAAAAAAAAAAAAGGCTATCAGGATCATATCTGGCTCTTCACCACGATCTCATTCTTCCCATCTGTTTTCCAATCTAAATCTTTTGAAATTATACGATAATAATTTAATCCAGCAGGCTATTCCACCGTGCATTCGATCCTCCCCAAGCATTTAAGTAACATGTTTATTCTTCATTTCACAATTAGGCCTATTGTACGCGATCTAGAACTGATATTCACATCCCTAATCACAACACAAATTATTTCCACCACAACGTTAGATATACGGGCCCTTCTATTTTGAACAATTTACCATTCTCAATTACCAATGCTGTTTCTGTCAGAGCTTTTTCTAATAAACTAAAAAACACATAATCTCAAATTATTAAATATTTCTGTGGTTAAAATTGGTTAATGCTGTTATGTATTGAGCTGCTTTTTCTCCCTTTTTTCAGGCCTGCCCACCACAAGATTTTTGTTTTTGCAAACAACTTCTCGGGTCATGGCCTTCTTCCAAATTTTGTTCTTCTTTCTATTTGCTATTTTGTATTTTTATGGAAGAAAATATATGTTTTGTTGAATTGAATTGAATTGACATAAATATGATTAATAAACCACACACCATAAAAGCTCAAAAAGGTATTACAATTCAGTACCGTAGTCAATACTCGTGGCGTATCTAGTGGTAAGTCGGGGGAAAGGGTGTTGATGCATCCCCTAAAATATACTCACTCCCCAGTCGCAACTCCCTCCTCCAAAAATAAAAATCACGTTCAAGTAGTTAAATATCCCCTTATTTTGCGATCCAGCGCCCTTACCTAATTATCGACCCCCCCCCCCCACACACACTTCACCTTCGCGCCTAATTCCCCAATCACCTCCACATTTCAAGACTCTTATATACACCACGGTCGATAAAACCTGCATTCAAAGAAGATCCTTTCATCTTCTCGTTGTAAATTTCGTCGAATATCTCATTTTGAGCAACGGTAAACTGTGTCTTCCAATCACCGACAACACCTACAATGAAGAGATATAAAAAGAAGATGATAAACTTTATATTTCAGGTACACGAAAAAAGCAAGCTGAGCAACCGAAATACGCGTATTTGATGCGCGCTGAGGCTACGCCCTCCAGTACAGCCAATTACAAGTTAGGGTTAAAATCAGGCTGTTTACATTTCCAAATGAATGTGAGCAACTGTACTCACAGAAATAGCCAGTCATTTACCTGTACGCTTATTAGTACACCTACCTGACCCTTATAAATTCTTTACCGGTACTTGCCCAAATCGACGTATCATATTTAAAAAAGCTATGTATTTATTTTTTTTTAATCAGAAAATGAATGACTAAGTTAACTGAACATACCTTTTCTCAAAATGGTAAACTTCTGATTTGGATCACCTCTGGCGGCTACTTTAGGAAGGTTTCCAAGCTGTTTAATGCCGACCGGTAACTTACCAGTAAATTTCGATTTCATGTTGGAAAATGTTGTATTATTCACAATTAGGTCAACTTGTTCATCCGTCAGGCGAGGAGAAACGAAATCACAAAGCTGAATAACACATCCTTTATGATCCTAAAATTTAAGAGCGTAATAACACAGCAATGAAGATTTTTGTTCGTTATCGGAGGAATGATGATTACAGTAGTTGTTAAGTACAACGGGTTCAGCCGAGGGGGCGTGGCTTGTATGGTGACGTCATGTATAATTATACCGTCACACATACGGCGGTGTGACGGACGATCGGGCCCAGGAGTCGATCGAATCCATTTAGCAGACGATCATAGGTCCCTCTAGGTACGTTGAACCAGGAGGCTTCTTCAGTAGTAGTCTCAGACCACCTAGACTAATGCGTCCAGCAACCCGCAGCAGTCTGTCTAGGCCTCATTTAGGCCTAGGCCTACGTTAAGTTGCCTATGCAGAATCTGTTGTAAGACCCTGGCTTAGACTACATTGCACTATAATTATTATTTAATACACTTTTATTCAATACATTACAATACATTACAGAGAAAAGTGAAATAAATATTATTAACATTCCATTCTCTTTTTCTGGAATATAGCCGGCGATTTTGTTTCAAAGCAGTGAAACACTAAAAATAAATAAATCTTAACTTCAGCAGTCATGTTG